TCCTGCACCAAATGCTGCTGCAGGCTTACTTGCGGAGTGAGATCCTGTACCAAATGCTGCTGCAGGCTTACTTGCGGAGGCAAATTCTGCACCAAATGCTGCTGCAGGCTTACTTGCGGAGGCAGATACGGGAAAAAATAACGTTCCAGGCTTACTTTCGGAGGCAGATCCTGCACGAAATGTTGTCGCTGCCGTACTATTGGAGGCAGCTTCTGTGCTAGATGTTGTTACTGCAGATACACGAACTGAGGCAGATACAAACCCTAAAACCCTTGTTTTCACTGTAGGCTTTGTTTCAGGGGTAATTCCGAATCCCGTTCCAGATCGAGTCCCAGATGCAGTTGAAGCAGTGCTAAATGGTGCTGCGACAGGCTTACTTTGAGAGTCATATTTAGAAGAAGCGCCAAACGAAGATAAGCCAGCGCCAAATACAGATGAACCTCCGCTCAATGCAGATGGACCATCGCTTAATGCAGGCGGTCCAGTTTCCTTGGGCGGGTCTGCACCAGTAGCAGAAGTCGCCGTGGGTGGAGATACTTCACAACTGAGAGTGGTCGTAGACGCGGCCTTGACCTCAGGAGCTGGCACGCTGCCATCTTTGCCCATACCACATGCAGGGCATATGTCTATCAACCGCTTGTATGAACACAGACACCCCTGACACTCCCAAGTATCACCAAATGAAGCACTCCAAATAGAGGGCCTAGCAAGTGAGAGAGATGGCTGGACAGTTTCATCCTCTGTTTCACGACTTTTCTGATTGTTTTCGCTGGCATGGTCAGACGACACATCCGCCTTCACGCTCTCCTCGAACTTGGCCTTAAATTCAGTGGCAGCCTCAACGGTTATAAATCGGATCTTAAATACTTCCTTGTTGCTTGCTCCGCCTACGAAATCAGATGATGTCATCCAAGAGAAGACGCGCTCGTTCGAGTAAGTTCTAAGCTTCATACCACTGATTATACGATGATTCGAAGCTATAATATGCGTAATATCTCTTCTCAGCAAGAATCGCACGAAACCACCCTTTTTATGTTTCAACAACTTCGCACGACCCGTAGCCCTCTCTTTCATCCGATCATTTACAAATATATACAGTTTTGCTGTGGCTTCGAAAAGCACATCCTCGTCATCCTCTCTAGTACTGAATTCCACTTGATCCAGCTTCCCCACAGGCTCGTCACTAACAGTATGCTTAGCCTCGTCATCATTGCTATTCTTCACTCTGCTATTATCGCACATTGTGTCCGTTGTAGCCAATGAGCTGTTGGCGAGCGTGCAACTTCTGCGGTCTTTCCACTAGGACAAACTGGTTCAATATCAGAGTTCGGAACAGGTCAAGTGATGATGGATGTGAAATAGGCGTAGCTAGGCTGCTGTCACACATGGACCGTTAGGAAAGATAAAAAGATGATCAGTAATTAAAAAAACCCTCAATATGTATCGTGCGTACATATGGTGTATGAATGATACAGTTCAAGATACAATTTAATTAAATTGAAAAGTTGTCAGGGACGCAACTGACAGCCATCACTAAAATTCACTTAAATGGTAACTACGAGTGTGGACTTCGAAGGGAAAAATGCACCAGTTACCTGTAACGATCACGTCTAACGTCCGTGAATTAAACTGATATTGGGCATTCATTGGAATTGAGTATCCATTGAAACTGAGCATGCGTATCATACGCATCCTTGGTGTACATACATACACACATACATACATACATACATACATACATACATACATACATACATACATACATACATACATACATACATACATACATACATACATACATACATACATACATACATGCATGCATGCATACATACATACATACACACACATACACACACACATACATACATACAGACATACATACATACATACATACATACATGCATG